AACTTCACTCCTGTCTTGGCACGTGGATGTTAGATGTACGACATACATTTTGACGAGATTATTTCGTGTTTTCCGTAATATTAGGCAAACAAGGTTTCTAAAGACACGTTGTCTGGCCCTCTCCGTGAAGAACGTGCTTGGTGTTCATCGATGACAACTCTTTAGGCCTCTGTGAAGTCAACTAAAATCACTGAAGTCACGGCAGATGGTGTGGAGAAGTTCGAAGTGACATCTCTACCTTCGCGTTGTTTCTGCGTGTATTACGGATTACAACAAGCGTCTTCTCGCAGCAAGAGTGGGGCTTTCGATGTCGTTGAGGGGTTATTTACCAATATAAAAAAAATGTTTTCTATATTTCGTGCGCCTATAAAGGAACCCTAAATTGAAACAATAAGATTGAGGTGACAGATATTACCTGAAAACTCTAGGGTCGTAAGTTTACCACGATAGGTTTAATATAACAAGGGAAAGCAACTCTACAACGATTCACTTTGAAACACCTTTCGGAGATCTCCGATCGTGATGTCATTATTATACGAGTTTTGTCGTGTTTTAGCCACATTGCATGGCTCATCTAAACTTCCCGAAACACGGTATGACGAGTCTCTGGCTGTGTCAGAAGACGCCTATACTTCATTTTTACTGCAACGCTTTCTTTTGGGCCAGTTGGTTTATACTTCGAATATGGACCGCAGGGGCGGATCAGCGGCGTTTTGCTGCTGACCTGAAGGTGGCGGGTTCGATTGCGGCCGTGCCTGTCGCATTTCGATCAAGACGAAATAGTTCAGGCCCGCGGGAAGTGCGATATCAGCCCACGTTGAAGAGCACCACATTGTCGAAGTCTCCGGAGCCCGTCACTACGACTTCCTTCATAATCATATCGCGGTTTTCGGACTTAAACCTCAGATTATTATTATTATTATTATTATTATTATTATTATTATTATTATTATTATTATTATTATTATTATTATTATTATTATTATTATTATTATTATTATTATTATTATTATTATTATTATTGCATGGTGGCATTAAAAAAGCAGGACAAGTAAAGATGTACACAGGACACAGGAATGTTGGAACTTGGCAGCCGTCCTGTGTACATCTCTTCTTTGTCCTTGTTTTTAAGCGAAGCCTTGCATTCTGTTCTGTTCCAAGTATTTTTACCCGTTGAGAGCTTCGTAACGTCCTCGTAGGTGACGTCGAAATCAATGACGTCACGGTGACCTGTGCGAAAGCATCAAGGTGGCGCCACCACCATCATTTTTCTTCGCGCGTTTCCTTGCTCACCAAATGTCCTCGCGCTGCAAGTGTGACGCTTTTCGTATGATGAAAGGGTGATTGACTGATCCGAGAAGTATTATTATTTTCTTCGTGAACCTCCAAAATATGTCCGAGAACATCTCTGATCGTAGATAAACACATGTGTTTCAGTTGAGGCGCATAAAATCTTATGTCTTCTAACTATCTCTGAATACTTTTACGCCCGCCTGAGGCTAAAACGTACTCATTTAGCCATATTTGCATAAGTCTTCTGCCAGAACCATTTTAGTTGGATTTGCTAGTGCCATTCGAATGCACATCTCGAGTTCTTGACGATTCCTTATGTTCTGTGCGTTTTCTTTTTTTTTTTGCTTCTACCTAGTGCACGGGTCATTTTCGGAAGAATTAAGTCTTGTCCAAATATTTAGAGGATACGAAAAGTGTTACTCAAACGATGTGTACTGAACAAATAACATGGATGTAGGTTACCATTTCTGGAAAGAAATGATCGGGAATCACTTTATCCGAAACCGTTCATGCTTCACAGCTTATAGTATTGAATGCCATATAAAATTAGGCTCATTTGGCAGCAACGTCTTCCAAGGCCAGCATGCTTACTTTTTCTCTCCTAATTTATTTCTCGTGTTATATATAGTGAGAATGACTTATTTTGCGATGTACCCAACGCTGAAGCCATTTTTTTACGGTTACCTCATTTTGCTAGCTCGTTTGCTTCCTTATTAACGGCTATTGTCTACTACGGAGAATCAGCTAAGAATGTGGCTGTTGATGTAAGGTGCAAATGGTCAAAAAAAGAAACATATGATTTTAGCCTGGTGTGACCTTGAAGCAGCTTTTTAGGGCTTAAAGCAGGTTCTATAAAATGATTTGGCCTCACCTATTCGATACGGAAGAATCGAAAGCTAGGCTAGATGAAAGCAGGTCTTCGAACAGATAGCACCTCACTTTCATCGAATACAAACACGCTGCTGCACTACCAAACATGTTCAAACATGTTGAATACCATTCAACGAATGATTCCACAGCAGAGAACGCTTGCACTCTAACAACCCAACGTTAACCCACCGACTCGCCTGACCTATACGTACACACGGTGACATGAAAAAAGCAGTAGGTAGACAGCGACAGTTTCGCAGGTGTGTCCTTCTATATCCTCTTGTCCTCTCCATAATTTCGACTGCTTTAAGCGTGTTTAAGCTTATTGTCTATGTCGATTTCACTCATCACATCACTTTCGTCAAACAGCCTCACCTTTCGTTGCTTCTTCGACTGCTTTTTCATCGTCGTGGAGAGGTTGCTCGTGAGTACGCGTTTCTGACTAGTCTTACCCTCATCACGTTTATTCAGCATAAAATCATTTATTGTGACTTTTCTCGGACGTAATGAGGAAATTTGGCCGTGTCATCTCATAGACGCAAAACAACCATCCTATCCCCCTCAACTACGTCAAACTATGTTACATTGCCCTTGTTCAGATGCCCAAGTATGCCTGTAAGAAGTTTGGGCGAAAACGTTAGGACTCGAAATACCTGCAAAACAAAAACGACGCAAACCAACAAGAAAGAAATATAGAAATGCGAACAGCCTTCTTTCGCGGAAGCGAAGTTAGGGCGAAGGCTATATTCCACCCCTCGCTCACCGCACCTTCCATTTCATCGAGGCGGCCCAGGCGAGGCCGTGCAAGCATCGATTTCGTTTGGGGGAGAACTCGGCGGCGCAGGCTGAAAGCGCACCGCCCGTATATATATAGCTAGAAGGGGGCGAGTCGCATCAGGGGCTGGGATCTCGGTGGGCCCATCCTTCATGCCGACAATCAGGCTCGGGTTTAACGGCCACAAGTGCCCGGATTGTGTGACGGGGCACGCGAGCAAAGAGAACCGAGGAAAGGTCATACGATCGCGTAGTATATGGCAGAAGCAAGCAAGAACATCAAAGCGCCAGCGGATTTTGGGAGCGAGCACCGGGTCTCAAACGGAGGTCGCCGATGATTCTTTCCCTTGATTTCTGCCTGCTCATTTTCCGTTACCTCGACGCTGTTGTTTCCCCTGTCTGGTCCCTTTTTTTTGTATGCGCTGTTGATGCCTGAATGCTTGCTATCGCATGAGAGGTTTTAACTGGAATAGCTGCAGCCGGCTGCTGCAAGGCCAGCGCTGGAGCCTATGTTGATTGCGCGTGGCGGCGATGGACCTGTTGTTTCATTCCAACCCGAAAAGTTTGCAGCGGAGTGTGGCATATTATGTTAACTGAGATTATTAGATTACGGCTGGCTAACTGCAACTGTTCTTGAGTGAACGGTGGATTCGCGAAAGACAAAAGTACCGAAAAAGTTTGCAAATCTCTCAATACCTACTTTCAATCCCCTTATAGTGTTCAAAATTTTTAGTGTCATTCGTAAACGTGGTGTGCAATAATTTCAGATCAAGAATGCCACTTGTCTATACCCACAATGATTTTCAAGTGAATCACGTTACAACTCTGGCATTTCTATGGATCAATGTTGCCGCTGTCACCATCCTATAGGCGCTCTTTGTCATTCGCCTGCTGGCTGCAAGAGTGATATGTCAGCGGTTACGATTGGCTCAAGTTTTTTTTTTTTTATGAACAACATATTCTTGAATGAGGGCCTAATTGAGTGAAAGCGAAATTTTGTTTACAGGATGAAATATTTCTTCGCTTAGATTGGGAGAGAAATGAGCTTATTGGTAGGTATATATGCTGAAGAGACCGGGTGTGCAAGCGCCGACAAAAGCTAGGGATAAAACATTAAAGGACCCCTGACATCGAATTTCGAAACTCAAGATTCTAGTGTTGTTTAATAGTCCTGCATGTGTTGCTACTTCTGACCGATTGTTAGTGACGAGGGTAGCCTATAAGATATAATAATTAGGTGTCAAGATAAGGGTGCGTGCTCATCCTCGTAGTCAGGTCCAATAGACATTTTATGTGGTATGACGTAAACAGAGACCCCCTCGTGAGGTTGCAGAAGTTAACTAAGTATTGTCTGCATTAGAGAACGTTTTCGGGGCGCGCGAAATACCCCGACTCGCACCCGGCGAGGACTATTGTTAGTCACCCTTCGTGCTCTGTTGTTAGCTGATCTTAATGTGCTTTTGGCCGATTACGCCAGGAATATATATGCTTTCCTTTTAGATGAGAAGCAGCTTTTTCACTCACGTGTGTAACGCCGTATATACGTGCGTCCGTACTAACGCGCTGCTCGCTGCAGGTGTTGGAGCGGTGCCAAGTAGGTCACGCCCCAGCTTCGCGTTGACGACATGCTCCCCTCGAACGCTTCCCTCCTAGGTGCACGCCGACGTTATTCTATCTCACCCACAGCACGCTCGGCGCAGCGCCCGCAGCTGCCCGCTCCTCCGCCTACTCACAACACACTTCTCTCTAGATTCACCCTTTCCGCCGCCCGCCACGCTCGACCGCACGTCGAGTGGACACACTCGTCTTCTTTATCTGCGAAGAAACTTACACGAAACTCAACCCACCTCCCATGCCTTTCCCTTTCAAACAAACGTTTACTCGAGTAAACGCTACATGGAGTTTCACTCCAAACCGTTCTTCCAGAACTCGCGTTGGCTTGTAACTTGTGATCTGTGAACGGTTCGTAACAGTGAACCCGTGACCGATTCGTTACCACGTAGTTGTATGACTCACTCAGCAGGTAGCGCTACTGTTAAGGTTGGTGCACACCGGCGACTAGCCGCGGTCGCGCGACCATTTGCGACTGGCGACCAAACTGCGAGCGACGTTCACACCGGCAAGGATTCATGCGAGCGACCGGAAGTCGCAAACCCGGAGAGTCACGTACAGATCTCGTTATCAACGAGAACTTGGGCGACCGGCGACGATCAGCTGATCAGATACGGAGCCCGCTGAGCGCGATGCGTTTGTTTTTGACGGCTGTGTTTGCGTAGCGTTCTCCCGGCAGCATCATAGACTTCGAGTCGAGTGATGAAGAAGAGGTTGTGGCGGTGCTGATGTGCTCAGCCAACGTGTCAGCACAAAAGCCTTCAAAGCAAGCAAGGCGATGGTGGGTGAGACCGTCCCTTCGCTCGCGAGAAGTGGCCGTCCACACAGGGCGTCTGCTCTTGCGCTCGCACGACGAGGAGAATTTCCGAGAGTAAGTTTATGGTTGTTTTACGTGCTTATAAGATAGTGCATAACATGTTATCTCATTCTATTTTTGGTAGTTAGCTTCATGCGGATGCCGCCACGAACGTTCGATGCTGTGCTCGAACTGCTGCGCCCCGCAATATCCAAGCAGGACACAAACCACCGGCTTACAATTTCGGCGCACGACTGCCTGGCCATGACCATTAGGTAAGAGCGTGTGGTTTGAAGATTAATATGCTGTGGCTTGCGGCTGCGCTTCGCTCGTAAGGAAGTTTTGCTTGGGCGGATAGAACGAATTGCATTTATGACGTATGCGGGCTCGATGATGCAGTCGTTACGGCGGCCGGCAGTTTACGCGTAGGTGACGGGTTTGATTACGGCCGCATCGATCGCCTTTAGGTGGAGGCGAAATGCACTTAAGTTGGCGCGTTTGTTGCGCACGTACGTTAAGAATCTCAGGTGGTGAATATTTCAAAACCATCTGTTGTTGCTTATTGCGTAATCAGTACGTGGTTTCCGCTTGTAAAATCCCAGAAAATGGGATTCTGCGCTACACAATGACATTACATTGTGGACCGGTCAGTTCCCGTTTTCTGTTATCCTGATGCACAGGTACTATATAGAACGCAATTATTAATGATGTTATAAAATAAGTGAAACACAATCCTAAGCTTTGCGAGTACAATTATGCACAAATTGTTAGGACAAATTGATGTGCTGTTCGAGGCACTCAAAGGGTATTCATGCCAAAAATATTTTTCAGCATCGGGGAGGGAGGAGGTTCAACCAACCACCCTTTATGTATCTGCATGCACGACGGTGTGTGTTTGCACAAGTACACATGCGAAATTTCTCACAAACATAGGCAGTGTTTAACCCCTGCACCTTGCTACAATTATACGTATGTTCTGTTAAAATGACAGTGACTCAATACACTGTGGACAGTAGCGCAGTGGCAAAACGTATTGTGGACGGTAGCACATTGTGTGAAAGCAATTTGAACAATTGACTTGAGTGATGTACGTTTTGCGAAATAGGTTCTCCTTGAATTTACAGCTTTTCAGAAATCCATGCTAAGGAAATTGCTACAGGTACATTTAGGTTGCCCTTCTTCAACCTGAGTGATATGAGCACGTACGCTCTTCCATGAAAAGGTTGATGCATGCTTATGATTCATTCGCTAAAATGTGTAGGCACAGAAATATTCACTGCATATACGACAGCTTGCAGAGTGCACAAGCAGTGCGACCGTTCGCGACCAGTTGCAAATGGTCGCGCGACCGCTCCTAGTCGCCGGTGTGCACCAGCCTTAATTTGGTTTAACTGTACAGGGCAATCGTTCTCTCAAAAGTGTACAATTGTTTTGTCCAAATGCGAGCAGTTACTGACCTTGGCTGCCATGAAACTTGACATATCGAAATTTCTAAAGTCAGTCAGCAAATATGCATTCTATCAGAAGCTGTGATGATGTCATAGAAAATAGACAGCAGAGGTAGCACTCATTAATACATAAAAATGAGGAACACTTTGGCAATGTAGCGTCATGACTACGACACTGAAATGCAACTATGTGTGAGATTTTCAAGCTCAGCATGTTCCTTTTACAGTGTGTGTCTTCCATCATGGCTGTGCCGACAGAAATTTCACATGGCACTTATGCGTTGTAGGTATGCCAAGGAAGTGCGAGATAAATTGGCGCACTACTTCGTCACAGACGGTCAGGTGCCTTGGCAGGACAAAGTGGTGAACAGCACTTGAGGCGTACAAGGTGAAGGTGGGTTGTAAATGCATTTTATTGCTTACAGAACTTATGTACATAGCATCTTCTTAAGCTAAACAAAGAAGAAAAAAATCACCCGTGACACAACAGATACATTACAGGGAAAACTGTCATGTCCAAATATAACCATGAAAACACAAAAATAAATAATTCATGTTAAAATATTTGAGTTATTGCACGGTTATCGCTATAATTATCACAGAAATAAGTGGCCTTAAAGGGGTCATGACACCCAATTTTCAACCATAATGTGTGTTGCATGAGCTGATTCTTGTATGTTCACATACAAGCTGGTGAAATTCGAGCGATTTGGTCAAGCTGCTAATTTTTAATCGCATATTTTTATAAACGAGCTAGTCGCCTGACAGTTGGGCAATACTGATGCACTCACTATCCATGACATCACGAACCGCTTGCTCGACAAGCTGCTGCACAGTGTGCATTCTGGCAGACGGTCGTGTTTTGTCATCAGCTGCGTTTGCAATCAAATTTTTTTGCATTGTTGAACTCTCCACTAAAGCTAAATGACTTCCAGGGGTCGAAACATGGCTACTGTGTCAGCAATGTAGCGTTGGTACTTGCAGCAAATAATTTCGTGAATGTGCAATGCGTATACCATTTGCCACTGCTCCTTCGGCTTGTGACGTCGCGCACGCCATGACAAAATGGCGGTCACTTGTGGTAGGTTGAGTTTTAGGAGCCGAGCACTTCTACGGCATATTTTTGACTAAAATAATCTCTTAAGGCCCCTTTTCACACGTGTACTAGCACATTTACTCTGTAGTTTTGTTTTTTGCTGACAACCGTCAATTGTTGAGTGACCAGTCATGACCCCTTTAAGTTAGGACTAGAAAAGTGAACACAAGATAAAAAAAGGTGGGTGTCGTTGACTTTATATATATAAACACTTCAATTTGCTTCACTGCTCTGATGCAATTTTGCCTCTGCTTCATACAGCATAAGTTCTACTGCATGCATTACATCTTGTGCAATGTGCACTGGTAGCTCTCTGAGGGGTGCATCGGTACGTAGAGCGAAGAAACCAATGTTATCTTTTTTGATGACCCCCTTGTTCGCTCTGATGTGTTCAAGGTGCTCCATGCACGCTTGCGCCACAGCTTCATGGCTTGTGCCCTCTCCTGCATCGCTGCAAAGCAAGTGTGAATTGCGATTCATGCAAATGCTTTAAGGTTGCATTGTTACTTCATAAAGCACCATTTAGCAAAAAAAACAGTGTGAGATCGACAAAGTAGAAACAGAAGAAACAATACAGAGCACTGACTTTCAGCTAATGTTTGTGATTTTCGGCACTAAGAAAGAAAAAAATATAGAGCAACTGAAGCAAATTAAATAGCACACTTAAAAGATAAATGTGTCAATAGGGCGTCTACTTCTCTGTGAGAAATAAATGGGCTTTTGATCTTTGAAACGGACACTTGTGTTTTGGGACAGGGTGCTGATGTTCTGATATTAACGTCTAAATATTACGGTAGTTACATGGGTTCTGTCTACCTTAGTATAAATGTGTCCACAATAAAAACATCAGTTTAAAGTCTGTGCTCTGTCCTGTTTCTTCTGTTTCTACCTTGTCGTTCTCACACTCTTTTTTGTTACTCTGTCTGTGTACCAACTTGACCGAGCGTGAACCTTATAAAGTTTTGTGTTTTGTAGCATGCGCAGGATTGTTAGAAAAAAATCTGCAAGTTTATCCTCTAAGAGTTAGGGGTATATCTCACCTAGCGCCCTCGCAGGTCCGTTGTCGTCTTCAAAGTTTCAAAGTTTATTTTTGCAGGAAAGAATAAAAAAAAATACAAAAACTTCCCTGCGGGAGGCAAAGACTAAAGGCTAAATAGCCTGACGAGGTCTTGACCTCCTGATACAGTCTGCATGACGAGCGTGACCTGCAGTGAATTATACATATTACTTAAATGTACAGAAAGTGATCCTTTTCGAAAAGTTGTGGTTGTGATCTCTTGCCAGGAGTACCTAAAATAATTTTTTTTGTTTACACACCGTTTTGATGGTGGCTGCTCTCTTGAGGTGGTTGCTGAAGCATCACCGCAGGAGGAGGCAGTATTATTATACAACTTATAAAGTGTTGCAATTGCATGTAGCAGAATCTGGTGTGAAAAATTGCATGTAGCAAAATCTGGTGCATGTAGCAGTTCAAAATAGGGCAGTCCGATTCATTTCTCGTAATTATAATTTCTCCTGCAGCGTAACACAACTTAAAATGGATTATTCATTTCAATTATTATCCACTCGCCGCAACATTTCTCTTTTATGCCTCTTTCATAAATACGTCAATAGCACTAAAATGACCAGACTTCCAATTGAACGACCCTCCTATTTATCAACTAGACTACACAACCGGCTTAGTTTCTCGCGCATGTACGGCAAAATGAACTCTTTTAACGCATCCGCTTTGCCTCGTGCCATCACGTTGTGGAATGATCTTCCCGATAACTTGGTATCTGACACTAACCCTGTTTCCTTCCGCAACAAATTGGTCTTACATTTTGGTTGATAATTTTATGTTCACAGCTTCGTTCTTGTATGTATATGACATTCATAATGCTGTGCAAAAAGTTTTTTTTCTAATGCGCTTATTGCCCCCTTATTTTTGTGCTTTATTTTTGTTTGCTTAGGACGAACTGTTCACACTTCCTGTAAGCGCTTTCATGATTTTCCCAGTGTATTATACCACAATCTGTGCCAATTTAACTTACACGTATTGTACACTTCCTAACTGCTGCGTGCCATGAACTGCATCTTTCTTGTTTTTGGTAACGATGTATGATGTCAATTTATACTTACTTATTTCTTGTTTATTTGTTACTCATGTCTCGAGCTTACGTTTTGGCACCTTTCGCCCTTTTACTTGTTGTACATGTCTTTGTTAGCCCCCCTTACTCAATGCCCTAACCAAGGGCCTGTAAGATACCTGTAAAAAAAAAACAAAAAAAAAACATTAGGCACATTCTTCAAATGTGCTAGAACATGCATGTTTTTAAGATTTAATAGATTGGCTATCTATGCATGCCCTTCATTTGTCATTACTTAGGTGGATTCATAAAGGTTTTACTCATTGCTGCAGGTGTCGACACGAGTCTCCTCAGCCGTATCAGGGGTACGTTCCGGTTCCGCTGCATGTCTTGGCCGAGGCGGTGATCTGCAGTGATTAAAATTTCTTTCTATGTATTTGATGATGCCGCTAGTACATGAAAAGTTTTAGGCATTCTTTGGGAGTTAAAATGCCATTATGATTTCGCTCAACACGAAGTTTATTTTACACTTGCGTTACCTCTTGATTGAGCACTGCTGTATGGAAGGTGTGCATACAGAAGTTTATTGTGCCTATTATGTTAATAAAATGCTATGTAGGCTGCACATCTAAATGAGAACAAGAGATATTGTCACGGAGATGAAGTAAAAGTAATTGCAGCCTGTTGCTGATGAATACTTTGCTTTTTCAGAAATATTTGACGTTGTAAAATAACCACATTCACACAGAAACAATGCCTGTGCCCTCATGTATTTCGGTGTGCTTCTGTTCAGTGTTGAGTGCTGAATGTATTGAAAAAAATGCAGTGGTTTGGGCAAGCTAACGACCTGAACACCACCTTTCAAGCACGCTTGTATTTTTGATAATTTTGCAAAGTACAATCACCTAGTAATAAAAAATAATGTTTCTAGGTTCAAGTCCATGCATGTACAGCTTCAAGTGCATGCACATGGTACCGAAAATTTTTGTGCATGCTCACCTCTCGTTAGCCTCTTCTGCTGTGATGTGGCTGCTGCAAGAGAACATGCAATATGTGATTCTGTCAGTGCTATTGTGTGCATCTTTAGAGCATTTTCACTGTTTTGCTACAATATAAGTACTTATGCTGCATTCTTGTAATGAATATGTGCAATGCTTGTCTATGAACAGCCTCATGACACATGCAATAAGCGATCTCTTTAGATTTTTATATTTGTATTAAGCCTTTCTTTTTTTGGTAAATGAGAGCCGAGAATGACACAGAAGTACACTCAATTCTTTCATTCTTACTGTTCTGTCTTCAATATTCTGTTTTGTGAAGCTGTCCACGTGCCACTTGTACGGTATGCTATATTTTTGCGTTGTGCTGATGCATTGTGCTATGCTAACCAAAACATTTCATTTCTGTTCAATGGACGGTAAGCATTATTCATTACCTTTGGTCAATGGCACTCATGTTGCACAGTATCCAGAAAGAATGATGCACTGAGTTATTCTTCGTAGCTGTAGCCACAGTTATTCGACATCAAAACAGCCCATTGCCATCATGTTCATGATCACATGCATGCCCACTGTGAATTACCTCTTGGGACTTCTATGTTTATGTGCAGTGTACTTATGTGTATTGATATGTGAGTATTTATGTGTATGTATAACAGTCATGTGAATTAAATCAACTTTTTTTTGTTTAGTACTCAATAGTCAGCTAATATTGAACTTACGCCACAGGCTCAGACTCTCCTTTCATTAATTCAAACATGGCCTCAAACTGGGGCCATTTTATTGTTGAAATGTCGGCTGCTCCAGCTCCACTTCTTTGTTTTTCACGTATGTCTTGTTGTTTCCTTTTGAAGATATCACGCAGGTTCTTAAATCGTTTCTCAACAAGGACACCTGAAAACAAAACCCTTGCTGTAAGAATGTATTGTGCATACTGTATCGCTGATAAATTTTCTACTTTATTTCAGCACAATTGTGAGCGGTCTTTATTTTCTTTGCCCAGATCATTTTGGCAGCAGCACCCTAGAAATCTGAATATTGGGCAACAAAATGAATCGCATGCCATCTAAACTTAACTATTGGTAGGGGCTTAAACATTGCAAAACCACTACATGATTGAGGGAACCTGCAGCCGAGGGTTCCAGAAATGCTACCCACCTAGTGTTTTAGACCGTCCACCTACATGTGCACGACATCACAGCTGACGCAATGATTAGTTGCGCAAAGAGTTATGTACACTGTTTCTTGAAGGTAGCATGTCTGCCAAGCTATTGTAACAAAGAGGCTGTTTATACTGTCGGAAATTGAAGTTCACTTGCAAAAAGTCTATTTCATGAACCAGCACATGATGTCTTTATCACCTTCACAGTGAAGCTTTCTAAGCATTACTGCATTGCGCAAAACTCCACAGGTGAGTATATACCATTGGTATCGGCCAAGCGCAACTGTCGTGTACAGCGGAGCGATTGTTGTCAAACAAAAGCAAACATGTTAAATAACTTGAAAAGAAGAATGAAACTAACTAGAGCAAGATGACAATTTTCGAGAGAAAGAAATGCAACAAACATAGTATATGACTCAAAGTGTAACATAGAGAGAGCGAGAGGAAGGAAAATATAAGAAAATAAAGGGACCAAAACATGAAAACATACCAACACATAGAAGCAGACATGAAAAATTGACTTTAAAATATAGGAACAAAGAAAACAAACAAAAACGAGGCACAGTTGAAAGCGGAGAGATATAACCTCGGGGAATAAAATATAAAGGCACCAATAGACAAAAACACAGGAGAGGAAAGGAGCAGTTGTGAAGAAGTGAGGATTAGATTTGGCCACATTACAGAGGAATAAATTCCCCCATCTGTGCTTTCCTTCAGTGTTCGCCCAGCCACTAGAACACTACCATATCTTTTTTTTTTTTACGATTGCATGTCATTTGGCATCAACAGCATGTCTGACTCCCAAATCCGGACATTTGAGAGTGCTGCTAAACATGTTTTTCATGTTTTAATTACACGCTCCTCTGTGGAGTGCACAAAATGCGCTCAAAGCAGAAGCTACTTTGCATTCTTTTTAAAGCAGCACAACTGCAATGCATAGGCAAAATTAAAGCGTAACTCCCCCCCCCCCCCCCCTCCCTCACCGCGCACTAGATATTATGCATTGCAAATGCCGCACGTTCACAAAAGCACACATTCCGTTCGCCAGACGATGACGTACAAACACAGCAAGGAGCATGCGCATGTGAGTTGGCAACTGCGAGCAGTATTTCGAACGTCTGAGCTTTATGATCAGCTATACAATGTTCTGTCACGTCGATTTCGATGTTAAACTCGGGAAGTCGCGAGAACAAACATGCAACTGCGAGCGCATACATCACAGTCAATACATCTCATGCAAACTAACCATGTAACCATTGCAGTCAAATACCAATTATTTCATTGTTCATTCATTGGCAACGCCAGCCATGCAGTACACACAACCTGGTTTTTGCTTAATAGCTACTCAAACAAAAACATCTCGGTACTTACCTCGACATGCCGAACATGCTTCGATCTGCCCAAGCCCGGTCCTTCTTTGTCCGATCTTTAAAGAAGGGTGCCGCGTGTCATCAGATATGGTACATTTAGGGTCGCGCGATGAGGAGCTCGGGCCGACTACCCAGAAGCTGGCCGTGGTGGCATTCGCCTGATGCGAGGAAGGAATCCATGGAGAACGTACTTGTCGTTCGTACCTCACGGCAGTAGGCAGCGCACGAGGAAAAAAAACATACGAGGAGACCGGATGTAAACAAAGACTGACGTCACTTCTGGTCTTCGCTGATTGGTTAAACTGTTTTGCGACTGCAGTCGCGCGACCAAAAAATCGGTCAGGAAGCGACTGGCCCAAACAGGTCGCTTTGCGACCGCTTGCGACCGTTCGTCGACTGCTTGCGACCAGTCGCAATGGTCGCGCGACCGCGACTAGTCGCCGGTGTGCACCAGCCTTTAGTGACAGACAGACAAACGCATGGATGACGGACGCATGAACGGACGAATGCTTAGACGAATGGACGCATGGATGGACAGAAGCACGGAGGAAGCATGTACGGACGAAAGCACGGATAGACAAACAGACGGATGGATACATGGACGGATGGAAGCGTGAACGGACAGGTGGCCGAATGTATAGATGTACGACCCACGGACGGACGGACGGACAAACGGACGGACGGACGGATGGAAGCATGGACTAATAGATGGATTCACGGACAAACGAACGGAAGCATAGACGGACAGATAGACAGACGCACGAATGGCCCCACGGACAGAGGCATGGACGTACGGAAGCACGTACGGACTGATGGACGCATGGACGTGTTGACAGAAGCAAGCATGAACGGACGTACAGAAGCACAGGCGCATTGACGGACGCTGTGACCCACTCATCATCATTCACTCGTGAATATGCTGTTCTTTTTTCTTTCCTTCACTTTTTCTTTTTTTTTCTTTGAGGACGCTCAACTGTTACTGGCCAACAGTGATGAACTAATCAGATTCATAGCAGAAGGCGCGCGTATTGCAAATTTGGGTAGCACTGGGCCAGCAAACCGTCTCTATCTTGGTCAGAGAAAAAAATTCTATTTTTTTTTCATGGGCATTAGTTCTTCATTTATATTACCTGCCTTGCTAAAAAATAATGAGAAGAAAAATACACATCTATGCGTATATAGTCGCGTGAACATCACTGTATACACTCGTGCTTCGGTTAGAATACACCATTTTGTTGAAAGCTAGCGCACGTGTTGTGCGCCAACTTTTCGTCTGCATGTAACCTTACGCCAAATATCGTTTAATGTCCTGACACTTCGTTTTTACTTCGCAGCGCAGATGCTTTGGGCGAAAATTGCAACGTTCTTCATGATAATCTCATAGCTCATGCGTGTCCTTTTCTACTGTGATCCTTTAGAGAACTAATCTAACGACCGTTGCTGTGGGATAACTGCTCGTCTTGACGTTGAACATTGTCACATTTGTTGCCTCATTGATGGCTTATCTTTCCAAGAGCAGTCGCGAATCCTGCAGTCTCAAGATTTGGTTTGTGTACGCCTTGATGATTTAGATTTATTTCTGCTTTTATTTACACCATACTGCAGTCACCATTGGTGGTTTTAGCATGGTGGTATATAGTGTTCAGACAAGTGGTAATACACTTTGTATACACTCATAATAAAATGCAATAGAATAGAATACAGAAGAACTGCAATACAATGCGATATGCAAAAAATACAGTAGAATGGAATGCAAACAAAATGGAATACAATTCAGCTGCTAAGTGAACCAGTTGAAAGGCACATCCGATCGATTGCTCATTTCGTAAGGTACTCTCCTGGTGCAAGAAATGGCAAACGGTCATATTTGAGAAAATAGTCTTCATTCCGATTACTGACCAGAAAAATTCCTTTACGTCTCAGCTGCAATACGCTAAAAATATTAATTTGTCCGAAGCCAGTAATTATAAACTCTTGGGGATAGATACTGCAAGTTCACTGTAATAAACAGGGATTGGTAGCAATCATGTTAATAACAAAGACACGGCATATGCCAGTGTTCTCCGCAGTCCTAAGCAACAAACCTGCCGGGTTAAAAAGATGTAAGAAGCCGGAAAAGTTACTCACTGAGGAGATCTATAAACTTAGAAAGCTATGCTACTTGAGTGATGGAGATAATGAAATGTTCAAGACACTACAAACGAAAAAAAAGGGCCGCTTCGTGCTTGCCGTGCCATACCTGAAGAAAAAAAGGGCGTTGGCTGGCCATCTGATTTCTTGTCTTGTGTTGTCGCCTAGAAGATCTTGGCTCCTACCCATAAGGGGGATTGGCCACACTGTACCTTATAATGGATTTGTTTTTTTACAACGTTGCTAAAAAAAGAAAGGAATTGGATAAGAACAATAAGAATGCTCCTTTGAAAAAACGTGAAAAAGTGCAGAAGAATTCGATAAAACAATAATATATAAAACAAATTAGAAAAAATGAAGAAGGGGGACAAAGAATTGGATATATCTGACAGTACCACTATAGCAGCGTATCCTTCCGGTTGCCTGAATGAATTTATGTAGCGCTGACAGAACAGCACTGCGGCCCGCACCCAACTGACTGGCTCCAAACGATAAAAGGGTGTATGTATTAACTGGCAATCCGAGCAGTACCAATCTGTCTCT